ATAAAAGTGGCATAGGACCGATTTTAAGGGTTAACTATGAATTTTCGTAGTTTGAATTATTCCCGCTTCTTTCTACAACTTCAAATTTGAAGATAATTTTTTTTTCAAATAAAATTTGTTGTCAATTTTTAGTTCCTTCATGAAGGTTAGGTACATTCTTTTGCAGATTTTAATACTTTTCACATAATATTGTGTGCAATTTGTGTAATTTAAAAAAATACAAAAGCAAAGTTTTTCTCAAAAACGGTTCCAATTTTTTAAAATCGTTTGGTAGGGATTGTGCAAAATGGACTCTATATGATGACATAAACGCAATATTGTGCTATTCTTTTGTTTTTTTTCAAAAATTACGAGATTGTAATGTTTTTGATTTATTTATCACGTGCCGTTGATATGCAACAGTAATATGTAAATACTCTGGTATATGTGAGCTTAAGTGCTTCAAATAACTTCAAATGAAGTTTTTCGAAAACTCAAAACTTTTCTATGAGAAAATGCTCCAAATTTTGAATTTACTGTAGGGCATATGCACCATTTTCTTACAGAAATGTTCAAAGAAAATTTCCATTTCACACGAGGTTTTAATGTTTCGTTCTACTATCAGGAAAGAAATTAAGAAAATTTCACAAAATATACTTTGGGCAACGAGAGATGGCAGCTGGAAAGAATATGTGGTTCGTGTAGAGATTGGTTATGCTCGTACCTTAAACAACGATCTCGGAGAGTAGAAATACATTATGTTTGGAGTCCCACAGGGATAGATTTTAGGCCTTATTCTCTTCCTACTGTACGTAAATGACATGCCCTCGACGATTAAAAACGGAAGAACAGTTCTCTTTGCGAATGAAACGAATATTCTTTGTAATAAAGAAACCGTAAATAGTACAATATCAGATATTTCAAATTGGTTCCGTATTAACAAATTAATAGTAAATGAAAATAAAACTGTTTCAATGCAGTTTTCCATTTCAAATAAATAGCTCAGCATTTCACTGAAAATGAACGGTGTGTCATTGACTGATGGTAAGGTAACAAAATTTTTAGGTCTTTCAATTCACTTAAATCGTAAATGGAACGTCCATTTAAATAATTTGAACACTAAATTAAGTTCTTTATGCTACGCTTTCAGAATTCGTTCAAATTCAGTCAGCCTACACACTGCTCGTTTATATTTCGCGAATGTTCATTCCCGCCTGAGATATGGCATAATATTCTGCGGAAATACATCTTATAGTTCCCAGGCTTTTAGATTACAAAAACGAATTGTACGAATAATAAGTAAATCCCACCTACGTGATTCTTAAAAGTCTCTCTTTATTTATTAGGTATTTTATCATTACCTTGTTTCTTCATATATGAAGCAGTGATTTTTGTAAAAAATGACGTACTTAAGGGCGGGAATATATATTTTCAGCAAACGCTGTTGTCTATAACTACAATACTCGACGTAGTTTCATATTTTATCAGGTGACAGTATCAACTGCTCACTATAAAAAAGTCACATATAATACATGTACATTATTTTACACCTTGCCAGATGGCATTAAACGATTAAATTTGATACAAAATTTTAAGTCCCAAGTACAATCTTTTCTGCTGCACAACAGTTTCTAAACAATTAGAGACTATATCGAGCATCCAAAAGAAAAGTAATATTAATTTTAACAATGACATGTAATGTATTTTATACCATTTGGATAATAATTGTAAAGAACCTGTAGCAAGTATTGTGCTTCAGCTTCTGAGTCAATGACCCCCATCTCGATCAGGTTTTCGTCCAGTTTCCCTGATCGTCGAGGAAATGCTGAGATGGCCCCTTTGTTTTGCTTCTGGACATAAATGTAACTTCCAACTAACTTCTCTCCATAGAACGTCACACGAAGTTTTTAACTGTTTTTCACGTAAATAAATAAGTATAGCGAGACAAAAGGAAATAGAAAACCAATACGCGAAAGTCTGTGCCATTCTGCAGCCCCACTAGTTTGTTTAAACTTTTGGTAGGGTAGTACTAAATGTACTGTATGAGATGATATAAACATCAGATTGCTCTATCCTTTTGCTTTTTCAAAAAATATATTTTTACTTGTCTCTCACGTTGTTAATTATCGGCGATTTGTTCACATTATATTTATGAGTACATGTGCTTTAAATGATATCATATAAAGTTTCTTGAAAAATCAACATATTTCTACGAAAATGTGCTCGAATTTCCGCATCTTCAGAAAAGCTCAAACGCCATTTTCTAAAAAGTGGTACAATTTTGTTTTTACATTTTTCAACGCTTAGTGCTAATTTCACTGTTTAAGATGACGTTAAATTAATTTTGCTGTATTCTTTTGTTTTCTGAAAATATACAAAAATACATTTTTGTAAGATTTTTCGCGCCGTTAATATGCACATTTCCAGCGATTCGTAAATACTATTTCATTTGTGAGTTAAAGACCTTCAAATGACATAATGACCTTTTTCAAAAACTCGAAATATTCCTATGAGTTATTCCTTGGGTCAATTCTTCACGGGTAACTCTGAATGTTCAAACATTTCAAAATTTTGATTTTTTTCGGTGTCTACCTACAACTACAGATTTAAGATAAGATATTTTTCCTTCTAATGAAATTTGTTCTCCATATTTAGTTCTTGCAATAAGGTTATGTCCATTTCTTGAAAATTTTAGTATTTTTTGCGCAATATTGCTTACAATATGTGCAATATTAAAAAATAACGAAGAAGATTTTTATCGAAAACAGTTCCAATTTATTTTGAACTTTTGGTAAAGATAGTGTACTCTATACGAAGTCATATATGCGATATTGCTCTATTTGTTTTTTTAATTACAAAATGTTAAGGTTTTTGACTTTTCTCACATGTCGTTAATATTTGCATTAGCGGCGTTTTGTTCACATTATTGCATTTACGAGTACATGGGCTTTAAGTGATGTCTGATAATCTTTTCACCCAAACTTAGCATGTGTTTAGGTCGGCAGATTTGAGACAGATCATTCTGCCCTTTCCGCAGAATCACAACTTTCGGAGCCTTACTCATACTTATCGCATTTAATGACTACGGGGCAGTGCCTCTTCAAATGAACAGCGCTAAGACACCAAGCATGAAATATTATTACTCGCGCAACTTTTCTTGAACGATGCCTTTTTCCCCCTCTCTGGTACAATAAACAGATGAAGGCAAAGCTCGCAGCAAGCACTGACCACAACATTCCAAATACATCTTCACTGGCGCGAAATAGAATCAATTTTCTTTTGAAGAAGAGCACTTCTATCTGTTATTCTATTCAAAAATGTAAGGAAATGACCAAAGCAGATAAAGATCTATCGCAAGAGATACTTCTAACTCCTGAACGCAAATTATTGAGAACGTTACGAAGGCGTGACTGATTCTCCAGAGATTGACATTACTCCGAAAAAATCTAGTGGCCAATTTCGTAACTAATACCCCCACTCTACCCGCATTTCTTCAATCCATCGTTCACGAAAAGTTGCGCGAGTAATACTGCACTTTGGTGATTCGTTGCCTCATTGTCTACTCTTTGGATTTTAATGTCTCCGTAATGTAATCTGTATGTTTAATCCCATTGTAAATTCTCGCCTGATGCGAATTTTCCCATTCAAATAAAAACCCGAGGTCTCTGGCGTATCACAATATTAATTATTTTTTCCATGTGCTTGCTGCAAACGGTACTATATCATATTATCCCCAGTATCCCCTACATTTATATTAATTAAAAGCACTTCAGGCAAAATCCGTTAGGTCTTGAAAAATAATTTCGAATGATTTGTTTCGATAAACCCACGGAAGCCAGATTGACTGCAGCACTATCTACCTGCAATAGAGCTCATAAAAACCATATCTACGGAACCATGGTGAAAAGCGACACGTGGGCTCTTGCGCATCATATCCATCTTCAGCCAATGAAGTTTGCGTCACAATATTAGGGGGACTATTAACAAACTGCTATGGCAAAATGTATACGATATACCAGTAATGATGCAACATCTCTTTTCATACTTTTTAAATGAAATTTGAAAGGAAATTAATGTGAAATACACAAGAATGACAAGTTTGGCCATCTTTTGTCCTTTGGCACTGAGGTACATATGTGAACCACGTAGCACTGATGGCAAGATAGGTTACATTGCGCAATTTGAGGTACAAATACTAGTCGCGCAAGTTTTCTGGATACACGGACTCCCTAACTCATGCCCAGCGCTGAATAGCACGGCCCGTTGAAATTCTTAGGTCGACTCGGAACCGCACGTATCAATTTACAGTGCTACCATCTCCCACCTCCTTTACATTTCAAAAACAGTTCGAAGTTATTTTCGTGCAAGTGTGTTAATTAGTGGTTTGTTAATATAATTGTTCCCATTACTTTAACGGACGTTTTCTTGGCTTTTGGTTTGGTTAACGATTACGGTTTCTGTATTTGATTGACTAGTTTATTGCTTCTTCCCTTTTTACGACTTTGGCTTATTTATCTGGTGAAATCTTTATTGGGACAATTTGATCACTGTATCTTTCACAACTTTACGTGAAGATCAAAACAATGGCAGACGCTCAGTCCCAGGGCCCTTCGGGAAATCCGAGAACGCCACCATTCTCGCCGTATCACACTCTTCATAGATGCGGAGAGGAAAATTATGCTAACGTTGGTAGACTGGTGTCAAAGTAGAGAAAGAGAACAAGTCGCTCCTTGCCTCTCTTAACCAAGCCTTAAAAGAGGGCGACCATTTCGCCGGGTACAGGCATTGCATCAGGTCGAATAGAATAAAAAAATTTAAGGTTTTGCACCCAGATTCAGTCCCTGAAACTCCAGCAAAAGGGATACTGTCTTTTATTAAATGATAATACATGACACTTCTTATTGGAAATATTTATTATGTTTTATTTTGTCGCGCAATGGTAAGTGGCAATGGAACCTTTTTTTATTTGTGCCAGAACAAGAACACGCGGGAAAATCCTGATTTTGGATGTTTCGATTAAGAGAGTAATCAAGGGACACTATTCATGATTTTTAACACTGTCCAAAGGTACGTTCCTACAAATAACAAAACTACTACCAGTGCTGAAACAAAAAATCAATTTGGAATTGGAGCTTCATCACTTCGAACCATTTTTGAAATCTATGGGATTCGTTTGGAAGAGAAAGTTCAGAAACAACGAAAATACTTACTGTTTAGGAACGAGGTGATACTTGTTAGATTGGAGATTTCGGATACCTGGTGGAGAATGAAGCATTTTAGAGAGGAAGGAATTGGGGAGATCTTTTATTTAGACGAATCTTGGATAGACAATAATATGACCACAGGGAAAGTGCTATGCCAAAAGGAGATGATATTTTAGGAGTGACTCGTGGGGCACTTCTGCCAAAACGACTCATTATTGTTAGTGCAGGTTCTTCGAAAATTGGTTTTATTGGAGGTGCCTAACCTAATAATGGAAGCAACTACGTCACAAGGCGGGATTACCACGGACAAATGAAACCTCCATTTCAATTGAAAAATGGTTTCAAGTATGCAATTTACTCCCAAATATATCACCCGCCATCCGCCATTAGTTCATGGGATATATGCCCCTTTACCATTCTAGACAAGCCGAAAGAAGTCCCGTCAAGATACGGACACCAAACTGACAATGATAGGAATGCCGTTAAGGAAGAGGGAAGTAATGTGATCACAATCAGCGTAAAGTTATTTGTTCGACCTCATACTGGCCAATTAAACCGAGCGAAAAGGTTATGTATAGACCAAAATGAGCTTCTGAATGGGGTCATACTGTTATTCGTCTTTCCGCCTTACAATTTATGACCTCAATCCCATTAGAGAGTTAGCATGGGCTAAATTAAAAAGAGTGTTTAGGGAACATAATGTCACGGAGAACTTGTCAGTGCAACACCCTCCGTGAACTTACACACTACGCATTCTCCACTGTCACATCTGCAGATGGAAAGGCTTTGCGAACACATACAGAAGCTGTGAAATCGAATATTGGCAAAAAGATGGGATTTTCGAAGTAGCTTCGGACGTTATTTGTCTTAATGTTGACTGGGGGACTCGGCTAGTGAAAGTGAACGCGACAGCTTGATTTCCGATTGACTCGGAGTAATTGCTATAATTTACGTAGTTCATCCTACGCTTTGGCGCGCCCCTATGGTTCATTTTAATAGTTGGTACGCTCTTTTATGCTGTGACGTAAGCAGAGACTTCTCTCCCCGCACCCCCGCTGCGAAATATCAAGAAAAACTTCCGCGACACGCTCAAACAAGCGACCGAGCGGACACTGCAGCTGAAGAAGTTTGACGCCCTCTTCCTGAACGCGATCCACGCCCTTTGGAGAATGCGGAAAGGCCAGTGGCAACCCACCGCCCGCCAAGCTCGATCTATCCAACCATACCGAGAAGCCTCTCAGAAGAGCACTCCAGAGAGCAACAGGCTGGTATTTTGCAACGGCGCGGCTTCCGGCCGCTGCCATCCATTCATGGAAGTGGCCGAATGGAGGTAACAACGCCTACGGACGACGCCCCGCGACATCCGAGCAGGTCTGCGAGACTGGTGCCTCTCGACTCCTCCCCCGACTTCCTCCCAGATAGGTCCACAAAGAACCCCTTGCTGGGTGGACGGCTTTACCAACTTTGTTTAAAAACGGCGCTTAGGCCAAAAATCCCCGACAATCCCTAACCCCACCGAAATTAAGCAATAGATTACCAGACCTTAAGTACCCCAGGACCAACCAATCCACCCTTGCCAATCAAAAGGAACAGACCCAACTCCCCAAGCACCAAAGCCACCAGAACCAAAGGCAAGGGAAGGATCGGACCATTCCGTATTTGACCTGACTTCTATTTCTCCGACCCGACGGAAACTGACAGAGACCTGATGACAGCTTTGCAACAAATCCACATTGACCGCTAATATGCACTAAGACGGAAATCTTATCCAACCTATGACAGTGACTGCCCACCGAAATACGAGACAGACTCGAACAGATATCAACGGACCAACAACTGAAAGACTATTCTTCGTGACTATCTCATACCATTTCAATAGAAGCCACAGAGGAGGCTAGAGACAAAAATTTGTCATAAAAGGATTCCCCCAAGATACAATATTGACAAATCAAAGCAAACCTACAACGACAGAATGTTACTCACTATCACATAACGAAATGCAAGACGCGACAACGACGAGGACATTGACCCCTCTCGGCTATACACCGTCTTAGGACTAACAAGATGGAACATGGACAGACACAAAAGGACGAACTAAGTGTTACATTGACTTACTATAGGATCAGACTTGAGAACTATAAGACCACTGATAGGAATCCCACCAATGTAAACTGCCAGAGACTGTACACACCAAAGCCTACTGCCGACGGGTACTCCGACCTGCGCTCTCTGCGGTTCAAGCCCATTGTCCCAGCAGAACTATGCCCCTCACACACAACCTCTGAACACGCCTCCTTGACCCCAAAATGTCATTAATTCGTTCCATCCCACCAGCTTACGACCCATTCAATGCCCAGCATCATCAAGGCAAAACCCTCAGACAACGTTCCCTGAACCCCTCACACCACTACTCCCCCACAAGTACTTCCCTTCACTACCAGACATAACTCCTACGCGACAGCCACCACCCAGCCCAACCAAACACCGAAACCCACCCCTCGCCGCAAATCTACCGCACAAGACCTCAAGGACCTTTTCTCCCTCCTACCAAAACCCCTCTATTCAAAAGATTTTAGCCAACATCAAACCATCCTAGCAATTCCTGAAAGGCCCAGAGGACATCATTACAAAAAAATGTAATCGCCGCAGGCCTAAAATAGTTGAAAATTCTAAATAATTGGCCCCCTCCCCCCCGAATCCTCACCCTATCCTCATGGAACGCAAGAGGCGGTTTAACCAAAAGATTCCCATCCTTAGCCAATTCCTCAAAGACCACTCCCGTCGAATTCTGTTACTACAAGAGACATGGCTTCTGACTCCCAACTTTTAGCAGTTTCATATCCCCACTATATAACCATTACGCTCCCGACAGAACCACATCCCTCGGAGGCGGTACGGCCATCCTCACCAGACGCTCCATCCCACATACCCACACCCCCTCCTCACCAACAACTGCAACTCGAATGCACTGCCATCGCAATAGGCACACCTCAACTCCCATAAAAACTCATTAATCTCCTGTTTATAAAAGACCAAAGCATCCCCATCCCCCATTCTGATTTCGACGCCATCAATAACCTACCCCCTATCCATTCATACTGGCAGGAGATTCTTAATTGCAAATCTACGAAACTGGGCTCGCGACAAGCAACAGAAACGGACTTCAACTTGAAACTTCCTAAACCAAACACCACATCCATCTAAAATGCCCCCCTGAACCAACACACACCCTCATGGACCTTTCGCCATTGACATTCTTGATATTGTCCTCCCACTCTTCCAACTCCATGTTAACCATCCCCTACCCAAATATGATCTCTACAATATCTCTGACCACCTCCATTGTTTTTTTAATTGCTTCCACAGCCCTCATATTATGCCATCCCCAATCCACCCCCATTCCCTTCCACCAAACTGGAAAACTTCAAGAACATCCTCTCCAGGAAAATCACGTTCCTACAGAAAATCAACTTCACGCTGAATCCATAGATAAGTCCATCCACACCTAACCCACCACATCAAAAAAAAGCCTACAAAAATCGACCACCTACACCCAAAACCTTCCCCTACCCTCCCAAATGAAATCCTTTACCATTGATACGCAGAAAAACGTTAGAATACAAACGCTGTTTCACAAACATAGGACGCGTCGAAGACAAAAGACAACTTAAAACAACTTACAAGACAATACAAACGCTCTACGACACAACGAAGCACACAAATATTGACGACTTTTCTAAAGACCACCGCAGCGCCCAACAAACTACATTAAGTAATATAAAGGCAGTTCGCCACACCCCACCCTATATCCCCACTACTGGTAAACGACACCCTAACTTTTGACCCCTCAAACTCTTACAAACACCTCGCAAAATCCCTCGGCCGACCGTTTCCTTCCCTTCCAACCTCCCCAATTCAGACAATGTTATAATTAAATTATCTCAAGAACTCCGCCCTAACCAACAGGGCAGAAACACAAACCTGGTACGACCAATGACAAAAGAGTACGACAAAGTAATAAAGACAATAGACAGCACCAATCCCAGGGGACCCGACGGAGTATTCCCATCCCAATTAAAAACCTCACCAAAAATGCAATAGACCTCCTCACTCTTGCCTAAACTCTTGCCTCAAACTATCCTACTTCCCCACCGCTGCGAAAACCGCCCGCGTACCATGGGATTCCCAAACCCGGCAGTCCATCGTCTTCCTAAAATTACCGCCCCATAAGTCTTCTTCCAATCTTCAGGGCAAAATCTTTGAGAAAATCCTTCTCCTTCGCCTAACCCCCATCCTAGATCCATCATAATATCTCCAATTTTGGCATTCCGATCGAGGGCTGCTCTGCGTCCTCCAAACACTGAACCTCTCCATTGCAATAGCCCCCCCCCATACAAGACCAAAAGAAATTTTCCTACCATGTTCCACTGGACTCACCCAATGCCTTTAGACACAGTTCTCCGACGAAATCCTTCCTTTATGAAAATCCGACCATACGTTCCCAACCATCTCCAATTCCCTACTCCAAAGTTATTTCAATCACCGCTAACTTCCATGTTCGCCAACCTATCGAATCCTTCACCTAACCACCCAATCCAAGCCGGGCGTCCCAAAGGAGCCGTCTTATCCCAATCTTCTTCTCCATATACATCAACGATATCCCACGACCATGGAGTTACAAACTTCCTTTTTATGCCGATGAAATCTTTGCTTTCCTGTTATCCTTTTCCATTCCCTAAACGCGATCCCCTTATCCCGTCTCCAATCTGCTCTAGACTCATTCACACTCTGGGTTTACAAACGCCATCATTATTAACCCCATCAAATCACAAGCCATTTTTTTCTTCGTACAAACTTACCATCTAACCCCCCCCCTAATCCATTAGCAAACACACCAATCCCTTGGGACAGACGAAATCAAATACCTCGGACTCACTTTTTCCCGACGCCTCTTTTTGGACTAAACCACATCCACAAAACCAGAACAAAAGCCACCCGAATCACAAACGCCCTAATTCCCATCCTTACCCAGCCCCTCCCTTCCTATAAAGAAAAGAAACTCCAAACCTACTATACCTTATATCCGCCCCCATCATCTCATACGCACCACCCGACTTGGTGACTGCCACCTCTCAACAAACCTCTCAACAATTAACCCGAACAGAAAATTTTGCTCCGACTGCTATTCCGCCACACAATGCTACACGCCTTTTAAACCAAACTCAGGATCCCCAACCACAAATCCCTTCACATCCTAACATTTATAATCCACCATTCTGTGAAAAAACAAATTGGAAAAATTCGTCGCTAAATCCTAATTTCCGCCAAAACTCATTATCCCCCCCACCCCATATCTGAAGAAACCCACCCCGCTTCACCGGCAACAGCATTTTCCTCTCGACAATCCTTCAACTCCCGCCCGGTCACCTGAGCCAGAGAGCAAAAACAAAAAAACTAATTAAACGACAAACCAAACTTGACAACTTTTCGACAATCGACAAATCAAAAATCCTGAAAATGACAAAATTTGACAAACGATATGAATGACAAACCGAAACTGACAAAACTAAATACAAATAACGTAAGCATGACTCAGAAGACAAAAAGTTACAACGAAAACCAAAACAACTTAACAAAGCCACCCTTCGCCAAAAAACAAAGAAACACCACTTAACCCAATGAAAAAGTAACCTTTGTTTCCCCCCCTCCACCATTCCCATCCCAACCCAATCCCTTTCCTCCCCCCCCGCCACCCAGCGCGACCCGAACGAAAAAAACCATCTACCCTAACAAAATAAGCCCCATCTACCCCGACCCCCAATCCCCGTCCCCGTTACGGGGGAGAGGAGTCAGAGCAATAACAATCTCAAACACCCAGATACAACAAAACCTGCTCGAAGAGACCCCTCAAGGGACAGGCGAGCAAAATTACCAACACACGGAAGCAGGAAGCAGGACCAGTATGCAGTGGCGGCTCTGGGATTAGGCAACAGGGAGGGCACACAAAATTACAGAATCAAGCAATGTTAGGCATTTCAAAAATTGTTATATTCGGATTGTTTAAGTCACATAAGTAATATTTACAATCGAATTATCTCCCCGGGAGATAGACTAAACACATGATCTATAAATTAAATTGAGTCTTCTGTTGTTACATTCTGTAAATCTATTACTAATTCTTCAAAATTAAATGAGTCTCGTAACAAAAGTCTTTATAAAGAAAACATACAAAGTCCATTCAATCTCTCTTCCGATATGGTATTTCTTAAAAATGTCTATAATCTTTTCAAAGTGAAAACGCTCTCTGATTCTTTTATATAGCACATCCAGCTCAGATTTCAGTTGGCTAGCTCACGAACGGAGAGTACTGTGAAGCGCGATCAACCTGATGTAGAGGGAAATCTTTTTGATATTGTTGGAACGTTTTACAATCAAAGAGAGAACTCAAGGCTGAATTCCTCCTAAAATTAAGATGGCCATTTACCCCTTTGAAATTTCTATACAAAAGAACGATTGCCATTTCTATCAGATTGTAATTTTTTTATATCAGGCCGAGGTGGCCCAATTCTCTTCATGCACAGCCTTGTATCATAATCACATTGACTGTTTTCAGGCATTTTACAGACTTCGAAACCATTCTCAATCTCAATGTACAATACGAACTGGACGCAAAGATCGGAATACAACATTCACATAGTTAATCTACGGATCGGAAAGATGATGCCAATTGCACACTACTGCACTGAATGCTTGTGATAGGGGAGATCAGTTAAACAGAACACCAGCAGATAGCAGAGTCCTGCACGTAAATCAAGCGAAAGGAATATTGTAAGTTTAAAAATCGATCAATAGATAGCGCCAGGCAACGAGGTTGCTACCTCCCCTGTCAGGCTGCTGGGCGGTGTCTGTCATAAGATGCCATTTGCCGAACCCATGAAATACTGATCTCAGTAGGGGGCAGTGTCCCTAGCGCCTCCCTGCCGCAGCCGCCACTGCAAATATGTATCATAGATTTTTATTATTTTAGGAAAGCTTACAACATGGCCATGTTTTTCTTGTTCTCCTTTATTCGTACATATCCTGTTCAAAAGTTAGTGATCCTTGAAGAAACATGTTGTAGCACACATTGCACAATGTTTTCACAAACTTCGCGTGATTGTGCGCTTACGATCTCCCTCGCTGAAAAGCGAGTCTCTGGTAACCCTTTATCTCGAATTCCAAAAACCAGCTTGTGTTGGACCTGTCTTGGAACAGGCACTTGCATATCTTCCTTTTTTGGTAGAACAATAGTTGTTCTCTGAAGGCTGTGATTGGCATCTATTTCCAGTAACTCCTTTGTGGAGTATCTGCACATTTACTACTGAAGTATTCAGCAGAATCTCTATGCCAATCTTCCTTAACCATTTTACAGTCTTTCCCAAGGGATTACTATAGACACTCATTTGATCAGATAAGTCAATATATGACTTCCCAGCAATATTATCGACAACCACTTGTAGCTTTCGTTTCTCACCCCTTCTTCCTCTGACTTCAACCATTGCATCGGTATGATAGGTACTGATCATTAGCACATCCTTGCAATGTTTCCAATTGGGCACCATGACATTATGGTTATTCTTCATAGCAATGATTTCATCGCTTCTCAATTTCGGTTTTGCTACTGAAAATTTTTGTTGGGTTGCAGAGATCCAACAAATGTGTTACTCAATTAATAAGGTCATGGGCTAAATCGACACTTGAATACCATTTGACAAGAGTTAGTACTCGTCCAAAAGGAAGGTAAATTTCTAAAAACTCTAGGTCAACTTTTTTGGGGGAAAACAGACGGTAGTGAACCCACGCATGTTCTATAGTTGCGTTAATTTTCATATTGCGATCCGGTGGTCCAGATCGTTAAGGCAGTAGTGCCGTAGCAATCTCGAACAGAAGAATCGCGGGTTCGAGTCCCGTCTCCGGCATGATTGTATTGTGTTCGTCCTTTCACCCCCTATCATCGTCATCGTGTCATCATCACAGTTACCATGCCGTTACAAGCAATAGAGGTCGCTAATGACCTATAAGTTGATGCGACCTTAAATAAAAAATAACTTTCATATTCAAATTGTAGCAATAATCTGAACACAACCCCAAAATTTTTATTCCGTTTCTTTGTCTCTTGTTGTGCGTTGTGTTTCTTGTGTCTTGTGTTGTGTGTCATGTTGCGAAAGAATAACTGTCTTAAAAAGGAAAATTCGTTTCATCTATTGTAACGTATTAGCCAGCGTGCCTCATGGCATCTATTTGGGGACGCTTGGCAGAGGATTAGCGTTGCCATAGGAAGAAGGGTTTTTCCGTAAAGGGAAGAACGCGGAAACGGGAGACACAAGGCTTTGGGAGTCTTCCGGCTTATAGAAGCTTTTCACTGTTATAACAAGCGAGGGGGAGGCGTGACGTAGTAGGTCACGTGGGCCTCGCCTATATAACAGAGTGTACAGAGCCAGTGGGTGGGTTCTGGAGACAGTGGGAGAACCTCGTGCGTGTGCACAAAACTTGGCGCCATGACGGTGCATATGCGAGCCAGGCTCGCGAGGCTCGAGTCACTAGTTGACGACGCCCGCGGACTTTAGGTCCTTGGGTGACTGCGGTCACGGGGGAGCGATGATGTATGCGTGCTCCGAGGTGAAGAGTGGTTGAGTGCCACGATTCACGCCGATTCTCAATCGGATAAGATCGCTCCTGCGATCGAGGCAAACCAGCCGTTGGTGCGCCAGAACGGACTTTGTGTTCCAGCGTGACATCCGGTCACGGAAGCTAGGCTTTGTGCGCGCTTCAAAAGTAGGAGTGGCGAATGCCACAATCAAAACCATCTTCAATCGGGTTTGGATCGCTCCCGCGATCAGGGGATAGTAGGTCTATCAGAGCTAGGGTGTAAGTAGATTATTAAGTGTATATATTTGTTTTGTTTTCTTTGTTAATAAATATAATTGTTATATGAAAGCTCTGTGTCTGTGGTCGCTGTGAGTATCCATGACGTCACACTATACAAACGATTCTGCCTGGAATTACACATTGCTAGAATATATTAGTAATTAGATCAATAACATTTTGTTTCTTATGCAATCAATTACCCTCAGCTGCAGTTTCATTGTCATTAACATGAAACATGGTGAAAAGTAACTGAAACTTATTAAGACTCATGATTCTCTTGATATTTAATTCCATTATGCCATTGATTTTCCAATAGTCACTGATCTGCGGCATTTCACAAAATTCCATATAGAGGATAATACCTCGCATCTTCAGAATATCTGTTGGTATCCACTGACGCAGTCTACTTTTTGTGAGTAAATTAGTGGAACGCAACTTCTGCTAAGCATCACGATATGTTTCTGTAAATAACAAAATCATAACTTCATCATCTAGAAAAACTTCAAAAAATTAGTTAATTAGGTGCTGCGAAGCAATGGACTGAGAACAAATGAGGGTGTACCCATTGACATATCAACCACTCCGTCTTTTATTAGTTTCTTTTAGCTTACCTTCACGAAGGACCACTGGCTGGATTTGAATGAGTGTCAGCCTCGTGTTAGCCTAAAAGGTAACTATTTCATGCTCCGTTACCATCACTTGGAAATTAGCAGACACGGGGGAAATGAATAACTATAATTTAATCATTAAATAAATTGCAGAAAAACCATCTGGATGTTGCTGCATTAATCAGTCAATGAAAATACATAAATGAATGAGAGCCTAAGACGTCAACGTGATTAATGATCACGTAACATTGTTTCACAATTGCAAAATTGAGAAGTTATTAGGATGTGAGCTTGTAAAGAAGGAACAAACAAAGAATTTAAACTTGTCACGTGAACATAACAGTTGCTGTAACACGATGGGCATTGACGTAAGTAGCGATGGGGAGGGACCACAGCAGACAGCGTCTGGCGAGGATGCCAAAGATCTTGCACAACACTGGCTGGTGCAGTGTTACCACTTATGTAGATCTGAATAGCAAGACACTTTATTACATAGAGGCACAACGACAAAAACATGATGGCATGTGTTTGACAGCACGTAACCACTGTTCATAATTGAAAAGGCACTGTCAACGTTGCTCATACGGAAGCATTGTGAGGTGATTGTTATCGTGTAAATGTTGCGCGAAGAAAACACAGTCACTGAAAGTCATTAGTTCTGCTGCATACGAGTTCACACGCATGGTATGAGATTACAGATGACGATTGTTGCACTATGAATGTTTATGGATGTGAGCACTTAACATGTTCATAGTTAATTGAATTGTAACTGTTTTAATTAGTAAAACACATTAAACAATGATAAGCGGATTGACACTAGTTTTACACACATAAGCACTTAAGATTATAAGGCAATGTGAAATAGAAGATTAGGTAGGTGTAGCAGAGTGGTTACTTGCCGTAATAATGTTTAACGACAAACGTGTTGGGGCAGTATCTGGTTGCACACGTGGTTGCATAACGTGTTCGCAGTTAATAAATGAAGTAGCATTGTTCGAAAATTGATTGGACGAGTCAAAACATGTCTGCCCATTTATCAGTTTGTTAGCATAATCGGACTTGTGCTTTAATAACACCGACTAAACCAATCTATTATAAGTAGAATGTAATAAAATCCGTTGTAAGTTGTCTGTGGAAATGAATTGCAAGTGAATGTGAATTGGGTCCACAAATGTCTAAATGCAAGAGTTCAAGAATATAGTTTGTACTTGCATTATATACACTTCTAAATGAAGATGAAGTAAATTTACCTCAGATACAAGATTCACAATGTTCCGAAGTTGATATTTTTCTTCAAGATCATTATCTGTTTCTTGTGTATACTATTAAGATTTGTCTAGTTTACATGACATAAATGACAATGCCACATATTTGCGATTTCAGTATTATTTGTTTTAAGACATACTTATTTTAATGGTTGAGTAATCGTAGGCGAATCTACGATGTGTTGAGAATATGAAGTTACCTTATCTATTTCCATATTTAAGATAAAATTATACCCATCAAAATTACCTGTGGCTACAAGAGATCCATCTTTGTCATATATTATTTTTACCTTCTCTTTATGGAGAGTAATTCGTTTGCCTTTTCTGACGATACCGAAAGCAAATTGCCATTGATTCTGCGAACATATAACACGCTATCTACTTTTAATTTAAGAGAATCATTCATTGTATCTCGAAGGGCTTCCGGCAAAATTCAATAAAATCTTTCTCTCCTTTTCGGCTGTCATTACTTTTACATTATTTTCGCGCGTGTTATAAAGTACGTCGCAAATAAAGCTGTAACTACTATCATCGTATCTACTATCATAGTGTTTTGGAAGACCATTCCACACGTAATGTGTCAATGCAGCGTCGTCAATACTCGTACCAAGTTCTTGTAGTATCTCGCGTCTTATCCCTTGAACTCGTGTCAAAACATTTGTGATTGTTTCTCCTCTCTATATTTATATTTTGCGAGTTTAAACCTTAAATTAGTTAGTTTACTTTTCTGAATGACTCCGTGATGTTTTGCATAGATGCGCCCATAAACCCTTCTCTATCCATCCCACGGCAAGTTATGAGTTGTTCGTCCGACAAAGTCATAACCAACAAACCCATCGCTTCGTCGTTCTTTCGGTGCCAGTCTTGCTAGACCTTTACGCTCACCTCGTTGTCCGCGGTACATTTCGGTTCATCCGCAATAATTATTTCATCATACAATTGTTTGGAACGTAGTAGACTTGCCATCAGCATACTCCACATCATATAGTTTTTATTGGAATCATTCCGAACGCAATCGTAGCTTTAACCATCTTGATTATGAAGCCACGTTAATGACACAAACACGTAAATCAACGCAACGACACTTGTTGCGAAATAATAATCCAACCGTCAACCTCAGGAGGAGTTCGAATCGGACGGATCGGCGCGTGATCGGACAGCCAAAAGCATTCGCAATGAAATATAACGCCCATTAAAAGTCCCTTCTGAAAATGTCATGTGATTAATACAGATCGGATTTTCATGCAGTTAAACTCTCTTAAACGTGCAGTAAAAGAACCAAAACGTGCAAAACATGCAATAAGAAGATAAAAACTTTGCAAAATGGTGTTATGTAGCCTCAAAACTCCAGTTATTAACTTATTTTTATATTTTAAATGTAGAATTTAAGGTAAATAAAATATTATAATTTTAGAATTTTTATTAATTTAAGTTTGTACATAACAAAATGAGGCAAAAAAGGAAAACTTTGAACACAGAACGACATCAGGTATTTTTCATGAAGTTCCTGCATCATTTTCAAAAAATGGCTCCGAATTTTTTGATTTAATTTTGTTGTTAAATAATGCATAAGACTTTTAAGAGAATGGTGCAGGTCTCATTTTCGTTGACATACCCGATTTTTCGAATTTGGAAAAAAAATTAAAATTCAAAATTTGAGATAGAGTATTTTGTTTCAGGCAGTCTATTGTTCAAAATTAGCTTTTTAAAACGGTCATATATGGTTTTGTTTGAAAAAGAATAGTTTTTGCGTTGGCGATGGAAATGTAATTTTTTTACAAAATCTGTTCCAATTTTCTTCTTTAAATTTTCTTTACTTATGTAACAAGAGACCGTAAAAATATTATGTTAGTTCCTCTTTTGAGTATAGCTCTGATTTTTGAAAATTTAAAACGGTAAAATTGAAGATGGGGATTTTTGTCTCAGACACAGTCTGTTGCCAAAATGGGCTGTTTTAAAAAGGCCATAAACAGTTGTTTTTTTTGAAAAAGCGAGTAGTTTTCGTTTAATTTGTTTGAAATTAATCGAAGTTTCACGCCAACTACGGACCATGAGAAAAAATTAACGAATGATATGAAAATAATTAATTAAATTTTAATTGTAATTTCCTATTGAAAAGTCAATATTAATTCTATTTTTCCTCTCTTGATTTTCTCCGTTTTACTCAATGTGCATTCTTAATGTATTGATATAGTTCATTTTAAGGAATCTGCAAAGTCTAATAGAAATTTCTTCTCAATATTTGAGAAGCACTTATGTAGCATTTGTTTTGTTTATACCGTCTTATCTCTCTTCCGAGAAATCCATGGACGCTGTCTTTGTTGAAAAGCAATAATATTCACCGTACCTGAAGTGTAGATGTTAAAAGTCGGCGATGCAATGAAACGCTATAGGAACTATTACCTTACGACGAAAGGCAACTCGCGAATGAGCAGCCAAAGTTTTCGTAAATATTTTCATGTCAATTGCATATATTATAATTACTGTATTGATAATATTAGCCAAGCTAATGCACATAGTTTTGACAACGCTGCGCTGGCAACAGTGCGTTGCTCGCTTCTTGGTTGAAATGAACGTTTTGAAATAATAGATGAGGTGATAATAGCGCAGAAAATGCAATATTTCAATACTACGTAGCTGTTTCCAATAAAGCGAGAAAGAATGTGCTGTGGCAGCACCTCTAGTTCTTACGTACTCCGATTTTATCTTCCACCATTATCATGTAGTGAGTTGAATCATGCACATTCCTGACTACGATGATATATGTGACTTTGTGCTTAAAGGAGGCGATAAATTGAAGATAAAAATTCTGTTTTTTAAATATACCCTGTTTACCTCATTTTCTTAGGGTTTTTTAAAATGTAAATCTTTCCCATGTTTTTAAGGATTGCAGGATAGCAAGGATTGCTACCTTATGATAGCTATGAAACAGATGTATGCGTTTCAAAACCAAGGATGGTTAAAAGAATCCATAAATTATGCTTTTTCTAGTAAAATTTCCATCTCTGTTCACATTACTATATGAATATATTATTCCTAATTGCAGATCGTTAGAAGATCAAAGGAACTTTGGATGTCCGGAGAACCGCAATTATGTGTCGGTGGGTGCCATCAACTTCGCCTTCGATACGACGGGCCGTCGATTTGCTAAGGCTTGCATTGAAGAAATGCGAGATTTCCACCCGACCCTTTGGGTCCATAATGGAGCAGGAGCCATCACACGCGCCGTGAAAAAAGTCTGCGCCATAAATCAGGTATGGTGCGAAAGTAAAAGAATCGGACATTTGCTAATTATGCATATGAGAGAGTAATAAAAGCATCGCATTACTTCATGGTTAAGTTAAATGACACACTATAACATTTGAAAGACGTTTTGGGTTCTGGCTTTATCAACATCCAATTTGGGAGTTTTAATTCATTTATAAAATCCTTTTTGTCAAGGCAATATGTCATCTTACTGTGCTTAGTTACACTAATTTCTCGAAGACGGCACCATGAGTGGTGTGAGCTGCCGATATACCTCGCGCATCCGTAGAAGTCAATTCGAGCAAATTTTAAAGTATGTTTTCAACACTCGCGTATGAAGTTTTATATTACGTACTAAGTAAATAAATCGCGAAATATAAAATACAAGATAAAAAATTTACTAAATGATTATCCAATTCTTCATAAATAAACTGTCTTTAACGAGGATGTACTATCATAGTAGAGTAGTAAATCTGAGTCACCAATAAACAAATAGAATCGTTTGTATATTCACTAATGGAAATAAACTAGGGATTTGTATTATTTTCTTTGAAAAAATAATTGTGTTGTATAGAAATTTGTAGCTACATTCAATGTAACTCTTCTTTCACACAGATCAACGAAATTACAAAAGAAAAATGTGGAGGTTTTCATCTTCTTGCCACATCAACTTTCTATTCAATACCATGGATGTCCTGGCAATTACTATTTAAAGAAGAAGGTGCCAAGGAGACAATGAAAATGATTGGTAATAACTTGGCAGTTCATGTGTGGAATGCTAAAAGTCACGATGCAACTGTATACACTTCGTCTATGCAACCATATGCCCAAATTGCTCGTCGAGTGTGTCCCAAGGTAGTTGCTGCAGTTGGCAAGACAATGTAGTGCGGAAGCGTTTTATTAAATCGTGTACACTTTTATGCACTGTTATATAATTTTGTAAAATTTATTCAATTTAAAGAATAAATCATTCCTCTGAAACATTTTTATGAAATGTGGAGTAAAGGATATTTATTAAAAGAATATTTAAAAAAGTCAATACACCGTCCTTATTCAATTTTTTCAATTTCTACAGGAAGGCTAAGGTCACTAGTAGCAAGAAAAATTACAACACACAAACCGTATATATATATATATATATATATATATATATATATATATATATATATATATATATATATATACGGTTTGTGTGTTGTAATTTTATATATATATATGTATATATATATGTATATATATACATATATATGTATATATATATATGTATATATATTTATATATAGACACACACACGGTATGTCGCATAGAGGAGGAACGTGAGTTCTCGAAACTTCCAGTCCTGGCGTCTGATAGGAATTAGAGGAACCCGGCAACCAGCAGACCATATATTTATTTAACAAAGACGTTAATTTTGTTTGTTAATTACGCGATATAATACTGATATACTGAACTGATTACGATATATAATACTGACAATTGCTGCGTAGATCAGACAAGCGCAAGTCGGTGGTGGTTACGCTAAAAGAAATTGAGAGCACGGAAGGCAGTTCTTCGCTCTATATTTTTAATCCGTGGATGACATTGATATGTTATCCAATTGCGAGCACCTCTAAGTGCTGTCCAATACCACAAACTGGAACGATGCATTTTATGTGGTAACATGTTCTCTCGTTGCTCGGGACACTCGTACACATGGCGTGTTTAGTAATGAACGTCCAGGTAGCACGTGGCATTGCCTAGTTGAAGGCGGGCCTTCAATTTTATGGTTTATTTCGTCCACAACTGCTGGCTGAGTCCTAGTCGCATGAACGAGGTGAAAAAGGTGCTCGGTGCTGGCGGTAGTGCTATTCGGGCGAGCGTAATCATTCTGGTCTTCACCCAGTTCCGTTTGGGCGGACATTCTGCGCAGTTTGCAGAATGTTTGCGCATTTGTAACATATTACTGAGCTGTGTGTGTGTGGCTGTTTTTTAACTGCTGGATGAACATGAACCTAACATATTCCACTTGGTATTGCGTCACGCACTGAATTCAAAACAACTGGCAACTTTAGGGAGTTTAGCTAATGTGTAATAATTTGATATTTTGTGTGCACCAAGTTGTCATTTAATGTTTAATTTACAAGATGTCATTTTAGCAAGTCAAAGCCATACTTTCATATGCCAAATCTTCTAATATGTAACAATATAATATTTTATGTGTAACAATATGCCACTTATTTTTTCATTTATTATGTTATTTTTCCAAGTCTCTACCAAGTTTACAAGTTATTTTACCGTTCTTTCAAATGCTAAATACTATTATAGATCCTACCATTTAAATGTTCAAACAAATGTAAATGTATCTTATTATTATTATTATTATTATTATTATTATTATTATTATTATTATTATTATTATTATGATGATGATGATGTAAGTGTACTGCTCACTTTGCACTGCAACATAGTTACCGCATTAACCATTGTACTCCAGTTCATCGCGATGCACACCCTTCTCAGCTTAGCTTCGGGTTTCAGACTGGACTGCCGGCCTCTGGGCAGCTCATTGGCAGACACCGAGACTGGCACTTTGTGGCACTCACGTCCCTCCTCTACACAAATTCCCCGAAACCGTCCGGTTCGGGAGGCACCGACGGACGACACAATCCGCGCAGCAGACTCCCACAGATGATGCAATCCTCGTTACATTATCCCCTCGTTAGATGCGATCTGTCTCAGAGAGCGTTTAGTGAAATGTAGATATTTGCAGCTGGATATCAATGGCAATTGGAGGTTAAGAAGTAACAGTCAATATTGTCTTCCTTGAATATGCAGACATTCCTTTGTGGCAGCTGTAGAATAAGATGTTAACCCCGGAAAAGTACTTCCAACATGCTTACCACGACTGCAGTCTAATTCATCAAAACTACAACCCTGTTTGAGCATGGCAATCTTCTGGACGTCGTCGATCAGTACTTATTCGGAGGAATTCAATTTGAGTTTCGCAAAGGTTTTGATAGAAGGCCTTGCGGTTTGCATTACTTTTTGTGGCGAGGTAATACGCATACCGTCGTTGTGGGTTGAATTGCCAAACTCTATCCCCAGATCAGTAACCTCCTTCTTCGGCTTTGATGTCATAAGCCAGCTATTTCTTCATTGCATTTTCGACCAAACTGCACATCATACGGTAAATGTAGTTATCGACCGAAGAGGATATCAGTGGGTGTCTGACCACTTGTCTTGTAAACAGAGAAGATGTGGGATAGAAAAAAAAGTGTTTGTATTAGTCTCAGTCACGTTGGTCATCAGATACGACCTCCTCTTCATTTCTTTCCATTATTCTGTTCTTGCATTGCAGCATCCCATCTGACTGCGGATGTTGATACGTTGTTCTTTTTCCTTATTCAAGGAAGTTAACATTCCTTGAAACACTTCATATTCAAAGTTCCATCTCTGGTCTGAGGGTAATTGAAGCGATACACCAAATCTGCTCACCAGTTCCTTAACTGGTACTTCGGAGATAGTGATGTCCTTTTGCTTAGGAATGGGATATGTTTCAACCCACTTGCTAAAATAATCCATGGCCATACGTATGTATTTATTTCCATTATTTGACATTGGAAATGAGCCGGCCAGGTCAATGTCAATTCTATCAAAAGGACGTCCAACGTTGTATTGCCTCGACTTCGCTCTTCTCTTTTTATGTGGCTCATTACTAGTGGCAGAAATTTGACCCTTTTTGCACCACGTCTTTACGTCTTGCCTGCTATTAACAGAGTAAAATCGTTCGCACACTTTATCGTTTTCGTTATTCTGAGATGTCTTCCCCAGGTTCTACTAAGACATTCTTTCAATATTTCAGGTACCCTTTTTCTTGGTAACAATAATTGCGTCTTGCGTCTGAGAGCCATCTTCATTTTACAAATTTTGTTTTAAAATACCTTCTTCAGCAATTTAATCCCACTGAGCACATTACCATTTTACTGCTGACGAACAGGGAACTATTTCTTGCCAACTGGTTCTCCGTCCTGCTATTTTCCATTCAAAAACACATTTCAGTTCTTCGTTATCTTTCTGATCTTTCTGGAGTTGTCATTGGCCACTAATGACAGTCACCCTCTTCTCTTCCGCATTACAGCAATTGATGGGTTTAGGTAATAGTTTTGAGGGCACGACCATCTGGAGAGAACAGCGGCATTCTGGTGACAATTTCCCCTCTAATGTTATATAGTAAATGATAATTCTTGCAATCTTTCAATACATTTTGCGAGATGTCCTTCCGGATTCTTGAAGTTCACTAACCATTTCAAAGCTGCATGATTCGTCCTCAAAAGAAATTCTTCGCCGTAGAAAAATTCTCCGATGTAGTGCCCAACGGATTTCACACCAGTAATTATCTTCGATTTACACAATAGTTGTGTCCTGGTTTTAATAGCAGTTTACTATAAAAACCGATGACTTTCTCCCGCCCAGAGGGTATATATCAAAGACGGCACTCAATGTTAAACGGAGAGCCTTTATTTTTCGTGAAGGGAAGAAATTCAAATCGTCCACCTCAACAGAAGCAACGAATCAGAAAGAATTAGCCATTTTTGCCCACCGACAGCCAATAAGCGTCGAAAAGCAGTCTAGCAATTGAAATGGAGGGCGTACGTGAACCGGGTCATTTGAAATGACATTATCTAGCAAATTTTCAATATGGCGGACATATATATACACTAAATAGAATATATATATATATATATATATATATATATATATATATATATTGAAACTAAGAGCGTTTCTGTGTTTGGAAATACTAAAAGCGATACATTCTAAATTAGAACAAAACACATCTTGATTAGCGCAGTAACGCCGCCGCCGCCACCGCCAACGGAGAAATCGGGAGAACCGGTGAGGGGGGCAACGGTCGGCAGTACGAAAAAACGATCAGAAGCGAACGGACGGGTCGCGACGCTCCCGAATAACAAGCGGTAATTAATCAGTGCAGTACGGTGTAAATGAGGTTCGAGAAGGGTAAAATCAAGTGTATTAATGACTCATAGAAAGTTGGATGGTTTTCGTTTTGGAATTAAGATTAAGTACTAGAACTGCAACAGATCAATGAAACCAGTAAATTGCTTAGCCGTTTATGGTTAGTGTAGTGATCCCGTGCTTAAATAAGCGCATAGTAGTGAACAGTGCCGAACGGATGTATTGCGAAGCTCAGGAGGATATCCGAAAATAACAGGAAAACCCGACGGACATCGATCTCGCGTCGTTCCCCCGTCTTTGTGTCATCTTCATAACGGCTGGGACGGAGCCTTGGCGAAGTCATCAACCGTCGCGTAGAGCCGGAGAGGCCAGTTGCCGAGGGAGGGCGAATCTCCGACGGGCTTCGAGGTGAGCCGAAGCCTGCCGCCTCCGCCGCTGCCGCCGTTGCTACTACTGGCTGAGGAAACGTCAGGAGGGAACCGATGACTTTTGAAGACCGAGGTATCATATACATTTTAGCTCATCCGCATGTGTGGTATCAAAACAAAGGTTGTACTGATCGTAAATATTGTTTGTAATGTGTATTATATGATACGTTACGAATAAAACGTTAAGTTGTTTAAAAATCCATAACGGAATTATCTTTCCATGTTATGCCAAAACCCTAGTGGCCCATTCACGAGAAAAAAACCTGTCCCCTTTAAAATTAATTGTGAAAAGTACCGCTTCACAGGTACGTCACAATATATATATATATATATATATATATATATATATATATATATA